GCTTGGATGGAACAGTTCCATCAGCTCATGGACTTGTACCAGCTCAAGTCCCCCAGAATCCAGAGGCTGCTACAAGATCTGCTACTGTGAGAGGAGCCTCAACCTAAATAGATCATCTACAAAGAGGCCCTGAATGCCACTGAGCTAGTACCCGGGGAATGGTGTTCTACTGCCTGGTTTGTGGTGGCTCTCATACCCCAAGAAGCACTCTGGGGTTCCAGGATGTGGTACCTCTTCCTGGACAGAATAATGTTCACACCTTCCTTTTTATAGGTATTGCCAAGTATGGAATCTTGGAACTTGCCTGGAAGAGCCTGCCCCAAGCTGATACTCATCTCACCAAGGAATTTCTCAACATCATTGCTACCACTCCCAATTATGGGACTGGCTAGAGGTCAGGACTTTCCATTCTCAACTGGAGAAAGGGCTGGCCATCAGAATCGAGACCTGTAGGGACCAGATCAAAGCCCTGTCCCTACCCAGCTCTAGAAACCTGTTTCTGTATGTGGAATAAAGAGGAGGATCTTTTTTGCAATAAGCACTTTGATGTGTTCCTTTCCCCACACATTTAATTTTTTAGGAAGGTCACCAGAGACACATACTTCTGTGAGTGGGAAAATGTCCAGCAGCCAATGGTGCTCGCCTGTGGAGCTCCTGAAGAGTCTGTCCTTGTCCTCTTCCTTCCTTGTCTCCCACTATCACTCCCTCCCCAACCCCACCAAAAAACCCCTACAGAATGGAAAGCAACTGTCACAAAACTAATGTATATTTGCATTAATATAAGAAGTGGAAAAAGAATGGATTTAAGGACCAGAAGACCCAACATTCTGCCTCCATGGAATCTAAGTCCCTGATCACAGCCATGTATGACTTGAGTCCCCAAAAGCAATTGTGCTGAGTATTGAGATCCTTAGAGTAAAGGAAAAAGCTTCACCAAGTTTGAGCCAGTACCATCTGGTGAGTTCATCAGTGGGTCCCACTAAAGAGTGAACCCATTTGAGGTTAAAGCAAAAAAGAAAACAAGAAGCTTATGTCTCTCATTGCTTTTGCTCCCACCTGGACATGGGGTTTGAGAGAATGATGGAATATGAATTAGGAAAACTAGGGCCGGGGATTTAGCTTATGTTCTGCCGCCTGCCTTGAAGGTGCAAGGTCCTGAGTTCAATCCCCAATACGAAAAAAAAAAAAAAAAAGAAGAAGAAGACTAGCTGTAGGCTCAAATAGGTCCTCAGTTGTCTAGAAATTTAGGAGGATCCTTCCTTCCAACAAGTAAAGAGATAAGATTTAAAGGAAAAAGGGTAGTGGGTTGGGGATTTAGCTCAATGGTGCCGCACCTGTTTCATAAGCCCAAGGTCCTGAGTTCAATTCCTGGTACCAGAAAAAAGGATAAGACTACTATAAAAAATTCTCTGTGCCCATAAATTTGACAACATAGATGAAATGAATAAACTTCTTGAAAGACCCTGAAGAAAATAGCAATATGTAGCTGATTCACTTGTTGGATCTACCATCTATATTCCAATTTTGTTAGTTGACCTAATAATGCCCTCATAGCCTTCTTTTCCTTCCATTACAGGAGTCAGTCTAAAGTCAGAGTATCAGTGGCTCCTCTGGTAAGAATAAAACCCAGTGAATTGTCTGTTGTGATCCCAGTGTCAGAAAAAATATGGATGACCTTGCAGTGAATCTCAGAAACTAGGCAGTTTGCTGTGACAATCCAGGTCTACACAATGCATTTGATCACTGTGCTTCATAGCTAAGACACTTTTATTCTTGAACATTTAACCTTTGCTATTTACACTCTTCTATCTCTATCCCTATTTTTCACACCATGTGTTTGTTAAGGATATAGAATTAGGTGTCCTATAGCTTTCTCTACGTTTTGGATTTTTCTGATAGAGCATGGTTTCATAAACTAAAGTCTTAGAGGTATTTCCAGGGTCTATGAGGCTCCTGAAATTAAATGAAAAAAAAGTTAGTGTGTGTCAGTTACTTATTTTTTTTCCTTGCTGGGTAAAAAGTCGGTAGCATTCATCAGATTCTTAAGGAGGAACTTGACACAAACACATTAAATCACCACTTAAAGAAAGAACATAGCCATCTGAGCTTTAGCTCAGACACTGCCAATGATCAGCTGAATGAATTCCAACAAGTATATTCCCTTTATTAGACCTTTGTTTTTTTAATTTTTAGAGGGAGACTTATATTTCAAACCTCTCCAGCATGCTAAAAAGGGTCCCTAACCAACCATTCCTCTCGCAGTGTATGTGCTCAAGATAGTGTAAGAGACTTTTCCTACTATCACAGCTACCAACTTCTCTGAACCAGGATACAAGTAATATGGAGTTGACCTTGCTTAAGACCTTAAAGGATCTTACATTCCTGGAAGAATATTATGTGCTTAAACTAAGGTGAATGACTAGATAGAGCTTGGGAAATTATTTTTCAGCACATGGAAACTCCTAAATGACCTCCCTGTAAAGACTGAGCCCTGGGGCACTACAAATATTGGAAGAAAGAGCCATAAAGGGGAACTGCAAAGGAGACTGAGGAGCAGCCAGGAAAGTAAGAGAAGAATCAAGTAAGAGTGGTGTCCAGAAGCTGAGATGCACATGTTCCAAGAAAGGAAGGAATGACAAACTGCATCAAATACTGCTGATGGGTCAAGTAAGAGAAAGGGTGGGAACTCACCACTGGTGTTGACAAACTAAATATAACTGGTAAGCTTGACAAATACATTTCAGTGGAGTTGTGAGATAAGACCATCTGACTACAGTGAGTTTAAGAGAGACTGGAGGGGGATTTAGCTCAGTGGTTCTGCCACCTGCCTTGCAACAGCAAGGTCCTGATTTCAATCCCTGGTTCCCCCCCAAAAAAGAGAGAATGGAACTGGGCATGGTGGTGTATACCTGTAACCCCAGCACTTTATGAGGGCTGCAGTATCAAGCCAAGCCTGGGCAATTTAGTGACTTAGCAAGACTGTGACTGAAAAAAAAAAAAGTAACAACAGGGCTAGGGGATAGAGCTCAGGGCAGAGGCTCTGGGTTCAATCTCCAATAACATTAAAAAAGTGAGGGCTGGGATTTAGCTCAGTTTTGTTCTGTCTCGCAAGGGCAAGGTCCCGAGTTTGATCTCCAGTACCAAAAAAAAATATGACAGAGAGAGAGAGAGAGAGAGAGAGAGAGAGAGAGAGAGAGAGAGAGAGAGAGATGGGGAGGGAGAAAGCTAGGGTTACATCTCAGTTTTACAGCACTTTCTCAGCATGCTTGAAGCCCTGTGTTTGACCCTCAGCTGTGCAAGACAGAGAGAGAGAAGAAAAGAAATGGGCTAATTGAGACTTTCATTTTTGTATTTATTTGAAAGTCATTTCACATTTCCAAAAAATTGCAAAAATAAAATACTGTAATAAGCCTCTATTTCCTTTATGATTCAGCTGTTGCTAACATTTTATCTCATTTACTTACTCTCTTTCTCTCTCTATAGATATATACATATACACACAATATTTGTCTAGACTATTTGAGAGTAAGTTATAGATAAGATTTAAATGTGTATTTCCTAAGAATAGAGACATTATCTTAAAACCACTGTACAGGTATCAACTTCATACATTTCCACTGACATAATACTTTATTTTTATTTTTTATTTTTTGGTACGGGGGACTGAACTCAGGACCTTGTGCTTTCGAGGCAGGAGGCAGCACCACTGAGCTAAATCCCCGGCCCATAATGTCTTTTTTTTCAGTGTTGGGGGTTGAACCAAGGACCTTGTACATGGTAAGCACACGCTCTACCACTGAGCTGCATAACCCATCGCCTAAAGCAGTGATGGTGAACCTTTTAGAACCTTCAGTGATACAAACAGCCCACTACAGCATGCATGTCTTAGGGCATTCTTTTACTTCCATTATAGGAGCCAGCCTAGAGTGAAGTATGGTATTATGTTTAGTTAACAAGTCTCTAATTTCCTTTCGTCTGGAATATTTCTACCCCTCCTTCCTTTTTTATTTTGAGACAGGTCATTAAATTGCTAGCTTGCTCAGGCTCGATTTGAATGTTAGATTCCCCTACCTCAGCCTCCCAAGAGGGCTAAGATGACAGGAATGTGCCACTACACCTGGCTTCAAGGCCCATTTTTATGCGGTTGAATGGGGAGTCAATTCTGTACATGAGACTGGCAACGTGTAGCATGACTCAGTTCTTCATTTTTAAAAATTGCCAAAGAGCCGGGTGTGATGGCACACACTTGTAATCTCAGCACTAAAGAGCCTGAGGCAAAAGAATAGCTTTGATTTTGAGGCCAGCCTGGGCTACACAGTGAGTTCAAAGCCAGCCTAAACTGCATAGCTAGACTGTCTCAAAAAACCAAAATAAATAAATAATATTGATAAATATTATTTCATTGTATGGTTATACCACATTTCATTATTCCATTCATCATTTGAATGAATTCAATGTTTGGGTTGTTCCTTTTGGCAATTATGAATAATGCTACTATGAACATTTGTGTACAAGTTATTATGTGCATTTCCCCCCCTTTTTCTTTCTTTGTTTCTAGTTTTTTTTTCTTTTTGTATTGGTAATTGAATCCAGGGCTACAGCCCCAGACCCTTTTCTATTTTTTTATTTTAAGGCAGGATCTAAGTCACTAAATTGCCCAGGCTGGGCTCAAACTTGAAATCCCCCTACCTCAGCTTACCAGAGTGCTGAATCAATTAGGAAATTTTGTAGCAATTTAATGAAATAGTCTTACATGTTTGAACTTATTAAAAAGTCTGCCATTAAGGGGCTGGGGATTTAGCTCAGTGGCTTCGGCGCCTGCCTTGCTAGCACAAGGACTAGAGTTTGATCCCTGGTACCAAAAAAAAAAAACCTGCAGTTAAAAAAATCTTTGATTTTGTATCCTTTTGTATCTCTCTCCCTTTGTCTCTTCCCCTTTCCTTTCTCCCTCTTATCTCCAACGTTGAGAAACTACACTTCAGTGGTCTTAAGTTTCTTACCTTTGATTTACTCAGTTCTCTCCTGTCTGCCTTCAGGAATCACTTCTGTGGTACTCCTCTCATTAAGGGCAGTATTATCATTTGCCAATTCCATTCTTGCTTCCTCTTACTTGATCTGTTTGTTCCTTCCCTGGTCAAGATATGAAAAGTTTTGGCAAGCTCCTCCCCTACCCCCCAAAATCTGCTCTTCTACCAGATGATAACATTAGAATACTTTCTCCTACAAAATGGACTTACATAAATTAAATAAGTAGAGGCATCTTGTATTACTTGCCATTGAGGACCTATGTTATTTTTCCACCATCTTTAATAGGTTAGCATATCATGTTAAGGTTGTAAGATGGTTGCTGTACTTCCATGTGTAAGCTTCAAATTCCAAGCAGGAAGAAGAGGGATGGTCAGAGAGCCCTAGGCCTGTGCCAGCCTTGGAGTACCACAGTAGTACTTTGTGTGGCCAGAGTTGCTGGTCTATGATTAAACTAAATCAGAGTTTTCTTGAGATGGAAGGGAAGGTGAAGGAAAAGAACTGATATAGAGTAGGCAGCATAATACCACACACAAATGCATTGCTTGTGTTTACAGATATTTTTAGTCTTTTATTAGAGTTCTCTATGGAATAGCCTTAATATTGTTCAAAGAATGAATGATTTTTTATACAGGAAGGCTGGGAAGGAGGAAAGGAATAGTGGTTAACAATAGAATAAGGTTATGTAAATGAGCTTTCTGATTCAGCTTACTGAATGAGGGTCCTTTCCCAGGGTCCTTTCTCTCAACTCTCAACTCAAGCTCAAGGCTTTTGTAGTGCTGCAGAGTATATATGAGTTTATCTACATAAGTCATAGACAGGCTGCATCACTGAAGATAGCACATGTTGTATTGTTCTGTAAAATACATTAAAAGGTATATATCTCTCCTGATACACACACACACACACACACACACACATTCCACTGGGGCAGAATACAGAATCTAGAGCTGAAGCAGTAAACCCCATGTTGTGAAGAGCACCCATTTCTCTTTATACACACAAGAATAGTGAAGGAAGTACATGATGTAACTATCACATATGGTGAGCAGCATTCTATTACATGCCTGTGATGTGTGAGCTTCTCATAGGCAGTTTATCATGCATGTGTGATTGTGACAGGACTGGTCCTTTCCTTGCAGGTGGAAACTATGAAAAGTTGTTCCAACTGTGATAGCTATAGTTATTTTCCATGATTGGGTTCCTTTATCATATTCATATGGAACTGTAGTCCTTTGTTGTTTTTTTTTTGGTACCGGGGATCGAATAGTCCTTTCTTTTAAAAGCATCCCCCCTCCCCGGTATACTGGGGATGGAACCCAGAGCCTTCACACTGAAGTACATCCTCAGCCCTTTTTTATTCTTTGAGACAACAGAGTCTCATTAAGCCATTAAGTTGCCCAGGCTGGACTCAAACTCATAATCCCCCTGCCTCAGTCTCCCAAAATGTTGGAATTGCAAGCATGTGCCAACCATGCCATCCTACTTTTTTTTATATATATTTGGTTGTGATTTGTTTAATATCTATTTACCCCACTGGATTCTTCTCTTTTTGTTTGGTTGATTTGGTTTGGCTTTTGTAGTGCTATAGGTCAAATCCAGGCCTTCACATTCTAGGCAAGCACTCTACCACTAAGCCATATCCCTGGCCCAGGACTCTTTATTCCTAAGATCCAAGGCCATGTTTGTTTTGCTCAGCATTATATTGCCAGGGTATTTGATGGAACCTATCCCAACCTTGTTACCATGTCTGAACTATGGAATACAGAAAATTATTTGAGGGGCTGGTTTCTCATTTTTCTCAATGCTAATAATTAGATGAGTAGGGGAAAAATCCATTCATTATGTAGAATGGATACCTTAGAACACTTAGGCTTCCTTTTCTTATGAAACTTGATTAAGAAATTCTAGAAGTTGCTTTGATCAATAAGGTTGTATCCTGTTGCAAGCTGAGGGAGGAGAGAGGGATGACTTCACGTACTGTTTTCCACTTTTAGGGAGAATGAATATAAATTAGCTAAAAATGTCCACTAATCTTTCAACAAATATTTACTAAATGAATGAATAAGTGGAGACTTGGGTCTTTCAGCTGAGGTCACTCTTCTCTCTCAGATTGATCAAGGATCAAACAATGACACGATTGTTCTGAGTGACAGGCCTGAGACTCTCTACCAAGAATCTCATCATCCCCCAAACAAGCCTTTTGTCTACTTCTACTACATCCATTAACTATTTTGTCTCCTTAAATTGGGGTGGAACTGTATGGAAAACAAATGCAGGTAAAGCTACTTCAATGTTTTTTTCTCTTCCTATCAAGTCTCCTATCAAGACTTCCTGAATTCATCAGAATCAAAACAAAACCTTTATATTTGGAGAGACAAAATTCCTTCCTGAGTGTGCTGTCACTTCATTTGATGTCTGTTTTTCCCTGAAACTTTTTGTCACAGGGGCCATTGATGGCTCAGTCCAGATCTAGGACTTCTGTGGAAGACTTGTAGCTGAGTTGGACTCAGCACTGCAGTTTGGACCACTCTGCTTTGCCAGTGATCAGGGTGACCAGCTCTTAACCATCAACCAGAGTATCTACATAGTATCCTGTTTAAAATTGCCACCTCCAACTCGGATGATTCACCTACACAGCCCAAACACTTCCTGTGTAGCTTCTTTTTGTTTGAAATGGTATTTGTACCCAAATTTGTCTACCTGGGACAAGGTCTGCAGGAATTAGAGGGACTGGAGACCCTTGTCAACAAATGGGTTATTGCTTTTGACAATACTGTGCTCCATATTGCAGAGGAGAGATATATGTCCCTTGTGGCTCAAGAGAAACCCGAATTGGAGTTTTTGGATGATAACAATACTGATTCGTCTACTTCTGGCCCCAGGCATAATGGTCCCCCTTATGTGGTTCCTACTCAATTACAGCTGGCCAGCTGGGATGGATCCAACATCTACTGCATATTACAGTGATCTGTGTCTGCCTCTGGGCTGAGGGTACCCCACTCTTCCTATGCTATGATCTGTGCTCATTCTACCAAGATAAGAACTGGGACATGATTGAATTAAGATCCCAGCCACTGTCACCTGTGACTCTAGAAGAAAAGCCTCAATGAGTAAGCAGAAGGATAAATCCAAGGAGCAAAAGAGAACTTCCTTTAGTGTCCTTAAAAACGTGACAAACCAAAATTAGGTGGGGAGAAAATTTAGTGAAGGGTCAATAAACAATTTTTCTCAACCTCAGTTTATTGTTCTATAAAGAAACAAAAGAAATGTTTTGATACCCTGGCACAAATCTTTTCCATTTACCAAATATCTTCAAGGTTGCCTACCGGACAGACTGTGGTCTACTGAAAGATAGAACCCATTACAATTCACATAATGGTTAACTAGCATGAGAGATGCTAGAGGGGCTGAGTTTCGTGAGCCAGTTTTTGCTGATCCACTGGGTATGGGATTGATGGATAGTGTTAAGAATGTGCAGACTAAGGTGTTATACCTTAGGATGAGAGTCACAGGCATTCAAACCAAGACCAGGCTTGTTCACCTGCTGAAGAAACAAGAAATTCTCCAGGAAATAAAGTTAAATTGGATGGTGATGTTCCCTTCTTCCAATTCCTTCTAGTTCTTGGCTTCCAGAATGTGATTGCTTCTTACCCTTTCCTACAGCTCCTTTTCTATTCTTTTCCTCTCCTTTTGTTCCTTATTTCTATTTGCTCTTTTTCCAAGCATCTACCTCTTTTCTTCTGACCACTGACTCTTATTTTTCTATCATTTCCTCCTTTAGGATTCCTCAAGCTTCAAATCCACAATTCCCCAAAAGAAGTTTCTTATGTTACTTTTGCTATTTTACTCATTGCTATTCTTCATTCATTCTTCTTCTTGGTGGTATAGGGATTGAACACAGGGCCTTGCACATACTAGGTAAGTGCTACACTTCTGAACTACACTCCAGTGCTCATTCTTTCCTCCTCCTCCTTTTCCTTCCACTCTTCCTCTTCTTCACTTTGGATTGAACCAAGGACCTTCACACTGAGCTGCATCCCAGCTCTTTTTTATTTTTTATTTTTTGAAAAAGGGTCTCACTCAGTTGCCCAGGGTGGGCTCAAACTTTCAGGCCTCCTCCCTCAACCTCCCAAGAGTTCTGCATCCCTATCTATCATTCTTTCTTCTGTATCCATCTTTTACTTCAACCTATTATGTTTTAAATGACCATTTTATCCCTGTCTCATCCAGTGTAGCTCCTTTCCTTCTTAAATTTTGCCCTGTCTTTAAATTTGGAGGGTCTAATTTTTTTTTTAGTTCTTTATATAGTCTAGATAGGAGTCCTTTGTCTGAGGAATGTCTGGAAAAAAATTTTTCCCCACACTGAGTTATCTCTTCACTCTGTTGGTGGTTTCTCTTACTGTGCAAAGCTTTTTAATAAGATGAGAGCCCAGTTGTTGATTCTTTGTGATATTTTCTGTGTGATTGGGGTTTTGTTCATGGGATTTGTTCTTTGCCTATACCAATGTATTTAAGAGTTCTACTTATTCTATCTTCAAGCAGTACAGGGGACTGCAATATTGATTATGCCCAAAGCAGGCTATAAGCAGTGCAGGCCATGAAGAGTTAACCCCACAATTGGTTTGTTTATAGGAGTCCAGTTGAAGCCTATGTGCTGAGGTCAGAGTAACTTGTACCCAAATTCCATTCCCACAACTAAAATCTTAACTAGAAAGACAATGTTCTGATTACAACCATATATTTTGTCTATTCTGTTTCTAATTTAAGAATGCTTTGTCTTTTCTTTTATGAGCCTTGCCTACATTAATTTCCATAGAAACCACATGACCGAGCATCCCTGCATGTAGTAGTGCCCTGTGTGTAACTTGGCTTTACCCCAGTTGATTATTAATAAAAATTGGTGGCTTGGACTGACCAGGGATTTTGTCGGTTGTACCAGCATTGGTCATCCTGGTACCCTGCTTTCTGTCTCTCTTAGTTCTGTCTTTTTGTTTTTTCCTCAGGCCTGCATCATACACTGAATAGGAGACTGGAGCCTACTGCAGAGATTTCCAGCAACATTTCAGGGGTTCCCAGTATAGCAGACTTAGTGTTTCTGTCTTAATATTTAGATCTGTGATACATTTTGATTTTAGTTTAGTGCACAGTGAAAGATATGGGTCTAGTTTTTAATCTTTGGCATGTGGAAATCCAGTTTTTCCAGCACCATTTGTTAAAGAGGCTAGCAGCTTTTCTTCTAGTGAAGATGTTTGGCTCCATTGTCAAATATAAAGTAGCTGAGTATGTCTGGAATTTTCTTCATCTTCTAATCTGTTCCATTGATCCTTGGGTCTGCTTTGTTTGTTTGTTTGTTTGTTTTCCCAGTACCATGTTGGTTTTGGTTTTTTCTCAGTACTGGGGATGGAACTCAGGACCTTGTGCTTGCAAGGCAGAGGTGCTACTGAGCTAAATTCCTGGCCCTCCATGCTGTTTTTTATCACAGTAGCTTTGTAGTATAGTTTCAAGTCAGCGATTGTGATGCCTTTGTTTATAAAGACATCCACTTCATTTTAGCACAGTTCTAATTTTTTTTCCCTTTTATGTGATCTGAAATCTATCTTCTCCCTCTGGAAGAACAGAGGAAATCTAAGACATTACCTGTATGATAGCCTTCCAACTTCAGTTTATGGTATTCCTCTGAGTCTTCCATTCATAGATTAAATATTCCAACAGGTTAAATTTCTCATAGGGTATATTTCTTTGTTACCTTATGTCTGGTCATAGCTCTGTTGGTAAATGCAGGTATGGACTTCCTACCTGAGGGTAGAGTAGGACCAGTACATCTTTTGTTCTAAGCACACTAGCATTCATGTAGACTAAAGTTTATTTACTCATTTTTGGTAGCCACATCCTTTGGTTGAAGGAGACTAAACTAACTATAAAGTGATGTAGGCCAATGAACCAACAAAGCAAAGATGGTGAATTATTTTGGTGTTCATGAAGATTGACAGGGAGGTATCCTAGTCTCTCCTTCAGAAGGTGACTGATTTAATAAATTCCATTGTGAGGAAGGGGACAAGTCTGTTCAAGGGTAAACTGGGAGGATTTATGGTTCTATTAATACATGTTAGAATGGTAGAGTTGAGCCCACTGTTCATCTGAATTAGCAATAACAAGCAGCTGTTTTGGTTAATCATAATGAGAGCTCTAAACATTTTAAAACTACTAATTAGCATTTTAAAAATAGTCTTGTTAAAATCTTTTGCCTTTGTCGTATTTTTCCTTTAAAAAAAGTAATCCTATAATATTTCTCGAAATCTTTTCTTTAAGGTGTTAGCTTAAAATTTACTTTCTATCTGGTTCTTAAATTCTGATTAGGAACATGTGATGTGATGCCTTTGTTGATTGTGATGCCTTGCCTTTGTTGCCCAGAATTGCTTTTTTGTTGTTGTTTTTGTTTTTTTGGTACCGGGGATCCAACTCGGGTCCTTGCGCTTGCGCAGCAGGCAGCGAAACCACTGAGCTAAATCCCTGGCCCTGCCCAGAATTGCTTTTAATATTCTAGGTCTCTTCTGGTTCCAAATGAATTTTAGGATTGTTTTCTCTAATTCTGTGAGATACGCTATTGGTATTTTGATTGGGATTGCATTAAATCTGTATAACAATTTTGGAAGTATGGCCATTTTCGCTATATTCGTTCTTTCTACCCAAGAACAAGGGATGTCTTTCCATTTTCTGATATTTTGTCTACAATCTTTTTCATGGTTTTCCATATAGAGTTCTTTTACTTCCTTCATTAGAATGATTCCTAGGTATTTCATTTTTTGGATACTATTGTGAAAAGTGTTTTTTCCCTAATTTCTCCTTCAGTGAGTCTGTTATCTGTGTACAGGAATGCTATTGATTTTTGAGTGTTGACTTTGTATCCAGCTACACTACTGAATTTGGTTATTAAATCTAGAAATCTTTTGGTGGAGTTTTTGGGGTCTTCTATGTAGAGTATCATGTCATCTCCAAATAATGATAATTTAACTTTTTCCTCTCCCATCCCTATTCCTTTTATTTCTCTTGTCTAATTGCTCTGGCTAATGTTTCCAGAACTATATTGAATAAGAGTGGTGACAGTGGACATCCTTGTCTTGTTCCTAATTTTATATTATTTTTTGGTTTTTTTGGTACCGGGGATCAAACTTGGGTCCTTGTGCTTGCAAGGCAGGCGGCAAAACCACTGAGCTAAATCCCTGGCCCTTGCTCCTGATTTTAGAGTGAAAGCTTTGTTTTTCTCCATTTAGTATGATTTTGGCTGTAAGTATGTCATAGTTGGCTTCTATCAGTTTGAGGTAGAGACCATCTATTCCAATTTTCTGTAGGGTTTTTATCATGAATGGGTGTTGGACTTTGTCAAACACCTTTTATGCATCTATTGAGATGACCATATGGTTTTCTTCATTGGCTCTGTTAAAATGGTGTATTACATTTATTGATTTGCATATGTTGAACCGTCCCTGCAATCCTGGGATGAATCCTACCTTGGTCATGGTGTATAATCTTCTTGATCATTTGCTGCATTGTTTTCCAGTATCTTATTGAGGATTTTTGTGTCTGTATTCATTAGGAAGTTTGGCCTGTAGTCTCTTTTTCAGTTGGATCTTTCTCTGGTTTTGGTATCAGGGTAATGCCTGATTCTAGGAATGAATTTGGGAGTACTGCTTCCCTTTCAGTTTCATTAAAGAGTTTGAGAAGTAGTGGGATTGGGTTTTCTCTAAATTTCTTGTAGAATTCATCAGTGAATCTGTCAGGGGCTGGGCTTTTCTTTGTTGATAGGTTTTCAATTACATCTTCAATTTCATTGACTGTTATTTTTTTATTTAGAATTTTTATATCTTTTTGATTCAGCTTTGCTAATTCATATGCATCTAGGAATCTGTCCATTTCTTCTGTGTTTTCCATATTATTAGAATATAGGTTCTTGAAGTAGGTATTGATGATCTTCTGGATTTCTGCAGGATCTGTTGTGATTTCACACTTTTCAGGCCTCCCCACATTTAAAGACCCAATCCAAATATGGGCATCTGAAATGAATAGACACTTCTCAGATGAAGTACAAACAGCAAATAATATATGAAAAAATGTTCAGCATCACTGGTCATTTGAGAGATGCAAATTAAAACAATGCTGAGACTCCATCTCACTATAGAAAGAGTGGCCATTATCAAGAAATCAACCAGTGGGCTGGGGATTCAGCTCAGTGATTCCACCATCTGCCCCGAAAGCCCAAGGACACGAGTTCAATGCCTGGAACCAAAGAAAAAAACAAACAAAGAAATCAACCAGTAACAAATGCTGGCTGGGCTGTGGGAAAAACAAATCCTTCTCTATTGTTGGTGGGAGTGTAGACTGGTGCAACCACTGGTGAACTACAGTGTGAAGATTTCTCAAAAAACCTAAAATTAGAGATTTCAATCCAGTCAGCTCTTCCCTTTCTTGGTATCTTCCAGAAAGAATTAAAAGCATCATACCACGGTAATATATGCACACCCATGGTTTTCTGGGGTTTTCTTTTGGTACCGGGGATCAAACCTGGGACCTTGTGCTTGTGAGGCAGTGCACACCCATGTTTATAGCAGCACAGTTTGTAATAGCTAGATCTTGGAAATAGCCCAAATACCCATTAACCAATGAATGGATAAAGAAGATGTGCTTAAAAAAAAAACCAATGGAATACTACTCTGCCATAAAGAAAGATAAGCCTGAGACATTTCAAGCTAAATGGGTGCACCTTGAGACCATTCTCCTAAATGAGATAAATTGGACACACATGTTTAAATACTGCATTGTTTCTCTGGTGTGACAAACTGAAAATGGAAGTAAGAACCAAAACGTATAATAGATATTGGGAAATGGGAAGAAAATGTTCAAATGAGAAGGGGATCAAAGGAGGGGGGAGGAGGAAAGGAAAGAAGGGACAAGGAAAAAAAGAGAATGGAAGGAATAAATGGAAACAAAGCATTTGTAAATAAGGAAGGTAAGAAGGGTGAAAGGGAGGGGAGGAGAATGGGAAAAAGAAGCAAGGTATATTTGTAGAGTTACAAATTTCCCATGATGAATATTATTTTGTATATTTAAAATGTTTTGCATCAATAAATGTTTTGCTTCAAACAAACAAACAAAAAGCTTTGTAGTGCCCAGTTATGCGTTTGTGTGGGACAACACATCCACATTCATACAAACACAAAATAAATAAATAAAATAAAATTTGCCTTATCATTAGCTTGGTATTGTCCTCCTTTCCTCTTGACTTTTGTAGACTGATAACTACTGGGGAAGACGCTTTGGGCCACCTGCTGGGGATTCAAGCTACTGATATGCAGTGTGTGCTTACTTAGGAGTCGTAATAGATAAATGAAAACTTGAACTTGTTAAATAAAGATGAACCACTTCCTTTTTCTTTCTATATCAAAAGATGATGAACATGAGGTTACTGTCGATTGAACATTCATACCCTTGTTAGAACATGAAAAGATCATTGAACTGAAGAAAAGAAAGAAATGTATTCAAGCAAAGAGCAGAAAGCTTAGTATGTATGGGGTGATTATGAGGTATGCTTGGGGCTAGCCTCATTAAGGCAGAGCCAGTAAGACCAAGGTATATAAGATGATACCAATGAGAACAGTTAAGTGGGAGGATCTTAGGCACAGAAAGTAGCCTTCCTCAGAAAGATCACCCCACAACAAGTGCCAAAGTCTTACTTATTTAGGATATGGAAGCTGGATGAATGAGCATTTCTAAATCATAAACCCTTAGTACCCTGTGCCTTTGTATCTCTGATGACAGTTCACTGAACTAGCTATGAGGTCTCACTTAGGATTTCTATGTTTTCCTTTATTATTTTTCTCTTAATGTCTCTGCAGTTAAAAAGAACCTGAAAATTGCCAGGAAACACAGAAAGATAGAATTAAAAAAGGTTACCTCTGGGGCTGGGGATTTAGCTCAGTGGTTTCGCCACCTGCTGCGCAAGCGCAAGGACCCGAGTTCGATCCCTGGTACCAAAAAAAAAAAAAAAAAAGGTTACTTCTGTGATTGTGCTGTCAGAGCATTTTTCTGTGAACAAAGAAAGGTTGGGAAATCAGGGCAAGCTGACACCCAAGATATTGGGTTGGAACCAGAGCTATCACTAAGTACTTTCAGCCCAGTTGAACCCCAGGATGATGCTGAGACGAAGGAGAGCATATTGGAGGCTACAAAAACAAGGAGATGGCCTGGGAATTTAGCTCAGTGGTTCCGCCGCCTGCCTTGCCAGCTCAAGGACCCGAGTTCAATCCCCAGTACAAAAAACAAAACAAAACAAAACAAAAAGGAGATTACAGAAGCCTTGGAAATTACAGAGGGTACAGAGACTGCAGATCAATGTAGCATGAAAGATGATGAGGAAGTGATCCCTAAGCTGGAAAGTCAAGAACACATTAAAAGGCTTTGGAAAAGGGCAGAAAAAAAAAAAGCCAAAGAAAGGCAAAAAAGAAATGGGAAGAGAAAAGGACTTCAAAGTGTATTTCAAAGGTGACTACAGAAGAGCACAAGCAAGAAGATAAAGAAGTCATAAATGTTTCAGAAAAAGATACAAGGAAGAAACATACAAAGAGCAGTCATGGTTTAGCTGGGACCCCTGGACATGTATCTAGACCAGACAGTAGGTCTTGGCAGGATGACATTTGCCACCTTCTCACCTTGAGGATAGCAAGCTCCTATCCAGGAATATTAAGGAATCTGGGTAAAGAACTGGTAGATGTGGCTCAGGTTGTGCTTGATGACTGACAGACCAAGGAGATCTGTTCCGTTTAAAGGACTCAAGCCCATTTTCATTGAAATTATATGATGGAGAACCACGTATAAAAATTTAAAAAATGTGGTTAAAGGGGATGTCAAGGATGAAGGGTCAGTAGTATTGAGAGAACAAGAGGCTAAAAAAGTGATAAAGAAACATGTGAAATTTTCTCCAAAAGTCAAGAAGAAAGTTGCTTTCTTAAAAGATGACCCACAGTCCAAAGAAGAAAAATAGTCCAAGAAGAAAAGAGACTAATTTGAAAAGAGGAAATTACTTGGAAAAAAAGAAAGTGATCTGGAATGAGGAAGCCAAGCCTGGGAAGGAGAAAGTAGAACTGGGAAAAGATTATGCAGGCCCACAAAGGAGGCTTACAGGCCAGGGAAGAGAGTTGTTATTCCCAAAGATAAACTGGGTGAGGAAGAGGAGGAATCCTGGGTATAGAGGAACAAGGTGGAGAAAGGAAGAAACAGTCCCACAAAAAGAAGAAACACAGCTGGGGAAAAGAGAAACACTTATAGAGGAAGAAGAAAAAGAGGAAGAAGGAGAGGAAGAGGCATGGGAACTGGGTACATTGTCCCTGTATTATCTGTCCACAGAAGAGGAAGGATTGTCTGAGGAAGACAGAAAACAAGCATCAGAAAGTGAGAGTTTGGCAGAGCAAGAGAATAATTTGGCCCGAGAAAAGAAGAAATGATTTGCAGAAGAGGAAACAGAGCCCCATAAAAAGAAATAAATCCAAGAAAATAAAGAACAAGTTGGGAAACAGGATGAATGGAAAAAAAAGACCAGAAAGAGGGTCCAGCTCAGAAAAAGAAAAAAACATTTAGCCTGGAAAAGAAAGAAACTGGACCTACAGGAGGATGAAAAGTATGAAGAAATTGTCACAAGAAAACAAACAGGGCTGGAAAAAGATAAGAAAATCTTGGAAAGAGAAGAGAAGGGCCCAGAAAGAATATTGAAGAAAAGATTCAACAGTCTTAGGAAAAAGAGAAAGTGGACCTAGAAAAGGAGAAAAGGGCTAGAGAAATGAATAAATGGTCACAGACAGAAGAATAAGCCCATGGACCTGGGAAGAAAAGCGACAGACTTGGTAGGAAAAGAATTGGGCCTGGGAAGAGGAGACACTGGTTCAAAGAGCGGAGGAAGAAGTTGAGAAAATAAAACAACAGCCTCTGGGTCCCAGCAGAGGAGAAAATGATGGAGATAGAGAGAGGAAGAGAGGAAGGGAGGGAGGGGGGGAGAGAGAGAGAGAGAGGAAGAGAGGGAGGGAGAGAGGGAGAGGGAGAGAGAGAGAGGGAGAGAAGGAGAAACAGGCCATGGAAAAAGAAAAACAAGCTAAGAAAGAGGAGAAATTGGCTGGAAAAGAGAAGGAAAAGTTGAGTGAGGGAGTGGACTCAGAAAAGTCCGTCAGAAAAAGAGATTGAAAGAAAGAAAAAAAAACAGGCCTGGGAAAAGGGGAAACTGTGCCAAGAAGAAGAGATACAGGCTGCTGAAATGGAGAAACAGTTTCAAGAAAAGGGGAAGATGCTAAGAAAAAAAGGCATGAGAAAAAAACAACTGAAGACACTACATTGGCCAGGAAAGAAAGGTATATTGCTAAGAAAGAAACGCAAAAACCAAAGAAGGCATTGAGATAATTAAAAGAAAGAAAGAAAAGAGAGAAACTATGAAAGAAGGGAATAAACTGTCCGAGGAAGAGAGGACTTTGGCTCATGACAGTAGGACCAAGGAGATGCATGTTGCTAAAGGAAAGACAATAACCAAAGAGAAAAGGATACACGCAATAAGGAAACTTGATAGAGAAAAGAGGATTAGTTCCAAGAAGGTTACTTCCAGGGGGAAAATACAGAAAGGACATCAACTGTTGAGTCTTAACTGGGATATTTGAAGAAATACGTTCAGTGTCTTTGGGGGAGATAGAAATAACTGAGGACGAGAGATCATCCATTATGGGAAGAAGTGAAACTGCAGTCTGTGCCAAGTGAAGAAATAACCAACGAAGAGACAGAATAGGCTCAGAAAGAGACAAAACGAAAAGATGACAGACTGGCCACCAAAGACTGAACACTGATTGATGAAGAGAGCTTAGAGGAGCTCCAGGACAAGATTTTGTTTGATAAAATCCAAGTAAAGACTGTATTAAAGAAGGTCCGGGAGTAAAATCTGCTAGAAAAAAAATAACTAGAAGAACTTCTGGAGAAAACTGAGTAGAATGAATCAGAAAAGACGCAAATGAAGTGGTTATTCGAGACTATCAGAGATAAACTTTTGAGGGCTTATCTGAGAGAAAATAGAGGAAAGTCTAAGAAGGAGAAAGAGGAGGAGATTTTGCCCAACTAAAAGAGATATCTTATAAAAGAAAAAGGAGTCCAAGTGAAGAGAAGCCGGAGGAGAACTTTGCTAAGAAGAATAGAAAAAAGAATTCGACCCTTCAAAAGGAAAAGGGATTGACTGAGAGAAAGAGAGGCTGAGTAAGAAGAGGGCCCAAATGAAGAGGAGGAGCGCCTTACCGCAGAGCGGGAGTATCTGAGTGAGGGGAAAGAAGAAGAGGAGAGCCTCAGTGAGGAGAAGGAAGAGAGCCTTAGGAAGGGGAGGGGAGGGGGAGGAGGAGAAAGAGGAGGACGTCAGTGAGGAGGAAGGAAAGGGGCATAGACTTCAGGAAGTGATGGTTTCAGAAGAGGAGTGTTGAAATCGGAGCTTTCAAAAGAGCAGGCTTTTACAAAGCAGCCAAGTCAGTGCAGCTAGGGCCACCCTCTAACATATCTGAATATGTTAACCTATCCAAATACAGCCCCAAAAGGTGCCGTCGAGGACCGAGTGCCCTCTCCCCACCCCCAACTACGCCACTGTGACAGAAGGTGAGGGCGTTGCTCAAGAAACGGAGGGTACAGCTAGAAGGAAAAGGCTTTTTAGGAAAGAGCACTTGCTGGATGGAAACACAGACTCCAGAATTACAGAAGAGCACTGGATCGCGCGCTTGGCAGCTGCCGCGCGTAACTGTCGCGCTGCTCTCCGCGGGGACCGAGGACGCGGAGCTCTCTGGGGAACGTAGTTCAGCGGACACCTGGAGCAGAGGGCGCCCAAGATTGTCCCATTCCCGAATTCCCAACTGGGAGCCTCCGCGAGCTCTTTCCATAAAGTCTGCCCAGCGACTCTGAGCTGAGTTTATTACCATTATGTGCAGTGTTGGAGATTGAACCTAGGGCCTCTGCCCTGAACTACATCCTCAGCCTTTTAAAATGTTTATTTTTTATTTGAGACAGTATCTTGCTTAGTCGCTAAATTGTCCCAGGTAGGCTCGAATTTGTGATCTTCCTGCCTCAGCGCAGGGATTACAGGTGTGTGCTACTATGCCCAGAGTTTATCATACCCCTTGACACTACTGCCCTGTCCCAGGAGGCAAACACAGGTATAATGTTTTATCTGAATCCTGAGATTCGGTCTTACAGTCCTGCCACGACCGCGGAGACAGTCTTCTAAGCTCTGGTGGAAGAAAGTTTCCGGGAAAAGGTGACTCGAACCACTGAAACTTCTGGGAAATGTAGTCCACAGGCGCAAAAGTGGAGGACGGGACAACATCGGTTGGTTCGGGGGGTGTGGG